TAGGCTTAGCGTTGTTGGTCGTACAGGTAAGTCAACTCATTCATTCTATATACAATATATACCGGAGGCGTTATTAAAACTAATAAAAACCATTTATGCTTACGTACGAGGTTATTTATCGCGTTTATACATTATATTATACACTGTTAAGTGTTATTGTATGTATGAACAATAGGGTTTACACAGCTTTGTGTTTTTTTCTTATGTGTTTTCCATATTATACTGTACTTTCTGACATAAACAAAAAAATATAAAAAATAATCATAATTACTGTGATTTAATCAAAAATTACATCACATTATACTTTATATATANGTTCATTAACTCGCAAAAAGAAGAAAGTTTGTTTTGAATCTTTTAAAAATTAATGCATAAAATATTAAAAACTGAGTTATTTAAAAACCTGTTTTCATTATTCATGTACTTCATTCATGAAAATTTTATAAATTTCAAGAGAAACTTATAAAATTTTTAAAAACTGAGTTTGCTCTAGTAACAATTGTTTTGGAAAATTTTTATTATAGTCCAATAAAGATGTATTTGTAGAAGGTGCCATAGAATATTTTGTTTTATTCGATAAAATATACATATTACTAGAGAGACTTCTTGGAAAATTTGCATATTGTATTTACAAACATCTCGTCCAATTGAATTATTCAAACCGAATTTTAATATGTTGAAGTTTCTGAGTTTGCATCTTACGGATAATAATAATAGTTTTAAATGTATAAATTTAGTTGGGTTTTTTTAATGAAATATATATTAAATTTTGACAAGAATAAAAATTTATAAAGTTTTTAATAATTAAGCTTATGCATTGTTTTTAAAGTATAATAGTTTCTTTAAGGTATATTGATTTACTTTGTTTTTATAAAAAGAAGTACTATCAACTATTGTAGCCGGAATTAACTTTTTCATTATGGACAGTTTAATTTGCATAGCACACTTAAAGAATTTAATTCACTTTAGAAAAAAAATCTTCCATTTTATATGGAGATGTAGTTTTGTAACTTAAAGGATTAGTTAATTTCTTAATTTTAAGTTCAGATGATAATGAAATTTTAAGCAATACTTTCTAGAACAATCATCATTCTAACAAAATTAGAAGTTTAATTGTATTTCAAAGCATTATCTTTTTCTGTTAGCTTCCTGATGATGATTTGATTCCATGCAAAATGATTGATTTATTCTAATCCAATATATTCATTCTGTTAATGCCTTGGAACATGAAAAACTAAATTAGAATTGTGAATATAACAATTTGACCATTTAATTCTGACTTTTATGAATAATGATAGAATGACTCATTCCCTCAAATGTAAATTTTGTGATTAGAAATGCTGTAGATCACGTTTCTCAGTAACAATATTTTGCTGTTTCATGCAAATTAAATTTGCGTACTAATGCATATCCTTTACGATTTTCTCTTCTAAATTACTATTGATTTTTATTTCCTCTACTCTTTCCTCAGTGTAGGATTTAAGATAGCAAACTATAAATTAAGGAATTAAGTATTATGCGATAAAAAAGGCATTTAAGAAAGCGAGATGCGATAGAAAAATCGTTTAGGCGGGATATATAATGGACGTTATCAGTTGCACAACAAATTATTTTTAAATCCAATTTTTGCTTTACATTCAACCGGATTTCTGCTGATTGATATAAATTTCATATGTAAGCCTCGGTAATTCTCCTAGTTAATTTAGTGATCTACACGTCAAGAATTACCGGCATCGGTTATTGGATAAACTAGTAATGGAATGACGTCACGAAATCGTACGTCTTACGTAATCCAACATATACACTATCCCAACTCTAGACGATATTTCGTAAGTCGATTTTTCTCGGATTAAACGGCTTTTAAATTTAGAAAGGTGAGTCTAAATTGTGTTAAACTGTCTCGGTGGTACCTTGTTTCCCAAAAGATCACGTGCAGCTGTCACTTGTTGGTAAGTTGCTAAGCAACCTTGTGCAGCTACGCGGGTTTTACACGTGGATGAAATATCGAGCGGTACAAAAGAAAGCCGAAGAAGCCCGAGAAAATGCGTTTGACCGTTTGCACGGCTTCAACTTTCGATTGGGTTTGCACAATTACTAATCGAGCTGAGTAACGCAATTTATTTTCGCGCGTGTTTGTTGTTTTTTTCTGTTCCCCTCTGTATATTTCAGGTCAGACGGTTGCAGGGGCTAGGTCGCTAGCTCGTCTGGGTTATCATTGCGCCCGAGGTCGAATGTATGGTAACTAGTGTCTAGGTCGCTTTCGGCTGTGTAAGCCATCCTGTAAAAAAAGGCGCACTTGAAACTTCTTGACAGCAGCGACCGAATCTGAAGTCCTTCAGAGTAGTCCAAAACGAAGGTCAAAGCGAAAAGACAAATGGTTCACAGAAGCGTTACATATTTTGGCGCCCTTTCAGCGGTTGATAAACACTTTAAAATTTTTTTAATTTGGACTAGTCATCGATCGACCTTTACGTAGAAAGACGTGCGGTAGAGTACATCGCACGTGTTCTTTTAAAACTGGTTTTCTGCCAAATTGTTACATCACAATAATGCGTTCCTTATTCGGAAAGGACATCGAGCTTAAAATTTGATGATATTGATACGAATTCGTTTGCTTGCAGTTTATATATACATAAAAAAATTATATATTTATTTATATGTCTTTACTATTCCGGATTTGTAACCATTACGCGTGACTGATATCAGTGCCTTATTTATGAAAATTATCTAAACGGAAGTAGTCACTCGGTCTGCCCCAAATGAAGAGGTGAAAGACCTTTTGTTAACTTTCAGAAAAATCTGTCATCGGATCTAACTACCGCTCTGTTCTACCCGTTTTTCCCATTGCCAAGTCTTCACCATCCTGCATTAGCGTTAATTAGTATATTATTTGTTAACCGAAAAAAAACACAAGCTCTCTTTGGATAACTTAAATAAACTTAGATTCGTTTTAAGAATTACAATAGAAAGTTTGAGACTTTTTTAATCTAAATTTAGAAGCACTCGCGATACTTAAGTTATAGATAACTCGCCTGTCTCCTCTTATTAAGACACTGCGATGAAGTATAACGTTAACGTTATCAGGTAAGCTTTTCAGTTTTCTGAAACAAGAATTGTACTTTAGTCCAGATTTAGTAAACGAAGAGGGGAAAAATATTTAATGTCTATAAGGAGGACGTGCAATTTGTAGTTAATGAGTATTGATCTGCAGTTTGTGTCGATTCACTTGTAATTTCACCTTGTCTAGAAAAGTGGAAAGGTTACCTTTTGCATGTTTTAAATTTCACAATTTAAAAGTAAATTTAAAGATAGGTAAGGAAAATTTTTATTTTTCCTCGGGAGGGGAAGTGTATTTTCGAAATTTTTATTAAAGATACGTCATAAAACCCAATATTCTGTATATTGTAGACATTCAAGGAGGAATTTTTTTTTTTTTAAATAGAATTCCAGAAGGAAATGAAGTCAATTTATCTAATAAAAAAGAAATGGAAATGTTTTGGGCCAGTTGGAATTTCATTTCTAGGAAAGCTTACCAATTCCAATAATTTCGTTGAGTGCATCCTGCAAATCATCCGAAGCCGAAATTTTTGTGTGTATGATGGGTTAATATAATTTTTGCATTTCAGAAATACCACTTTATAATATTAGGCTCTTAAGTATTCATAGAATACTTTTAACTAGTAAAACAAAAAAAAAGTTGATTTGTCTAACAAGCAAATGAATTATTTTAAGTAAATTCCGGCGGGAATAAATGAAATTACATTTAACAAATTAACAAGACGAATCCTCCGACTTGGCAGATGTGCCTTGAGTGAAATGTTTGATGGCCTTTTGTGTTTACTTCTGTTCATCTGATTGCTAAGGGTCACGGGTTCAGTAATTTGAAAGTTATCCGAGTGTATGATGGAATGATTCAGTTAATTTCCTCCGTAAGGATTGCCAATTTTTTTAAAACACTTTTATCGCCCTAAAGTGTAAATTTATCCAAAACTAATTATACACTGTGTCGCAGAAAACGGAGATTATAAATCAAGGCTATTAGTTTAATCCCTGATGATGGGAAGAATTACTTCAGGAAATTTAATTGAAAATTATTTATAAACATACGCTACTAATCTTTTAATTTCTCCGCCCTATTTTAAAAGCGATATCGGAGAAACAATGATGTCACCTATACTCAAGAACAGATTTAAAACAGTTCCTAGAAAACAATACTTTATCTCATGGCTTTCATCTTTTTTTTTTAATTTCGCATTGTTTGGGAACTTTTCAAAACATTAAAATAGTATGAAATTGTAGTTGTTGCTATGAGATTTACAGCAATCGATTTGTACTACGTTCTTTTAGATTGCATGAGATATAACGAAATAGCGATTGAATTGATAATCGCTCTTGCGAAACTTACATAATAATAATCGTACATACGGACTCCACGGCTTTTTTTTAATGTCCTTTTTCGACGTCCAGTAAAGTCGGATTAATCAATTCATAATTAATATATAACTTACATTTTAGTATTTTGATTTTTGTTGTAGTAATTCAGTCGTTTTTTAGTTTTTGTATTTTTCTGTTCTGGTCGAAATGTTTGCCAGAAAATTACGCTGTTCCTAGTATTGTAAGAGAGCAGACTGCTTGTTCCATTAAAAATAGCTGATTCGAATAGAGAGAAGGGGGGAAAAAACTGACAAATGCAAGATGTCTTGTGTACAAATGTAAGTTAGGATTCGTACAGGGAAAAGGGGGATTATTTTCAAACCTACAGTTGTCTTTTGTGTAAAAAAATTTCGTCTTAAATTTTATATCTTATCTTTCTGCTAAAGCCCCAGGAAGTTTTAACTTTGGCATTCTTTCATAATTGTTTAGTTGATTCGAATATCAGTCTAGCCTCTACCTGATTGGACATGAAAGGATTTATTTAACAATGAAAATGTTACCATCTGCGCAAACAGTTTACTGATTAAAATCGAACTCTGGTCCACTTTTTCTCTCTTCTCTTTCAGGATAACATCGTGGTTGGACGTGCAATTCTACGCAGTCCGAAAAGACAGTCAAGGTATACAATTTTTTTCATTTTTTTTTATTTCTCTACATAGTTCTAATGTCGAAATGCGATCAATACTAATCGAACAAAGACGTGTCTGTACTTTTTTTTCTTTATTTTATTAGTTGGAATTGCCAATTGCTGAAAGTTTCGATCGTTCTTTATAAGAACTGGAACGCGAAACTTTCCAATGTTTCGGTTCTGTGAAAAAACTTTTCCACTCATCGCTCGTGTGTGACTTCATTAAAGCTGATGCTATCATTAACTTGAATTTTACCAGTATATGCTATTTTTGTATAACTTTTAATAAGTTTCCAGCGTATATTAGCAGTGGATTTGTTAGAATCCTGAGTAGATTCGTCTATTGTAACCACTCGATTTTTTGGTCGAACAGAAGTAATTGGCAAGTTTTTAAAAATATTTTTTCGAATTTTTCGGCATTTAAGAGTTTACATTACAATTATTAATCACGTATTGCTATTTATTTATAGTGTTAGATTCTAAATATAACAATAAAATTCCAAATTTTTTTTATCAGTTTAACATTAACACGAAGCAGAATTTATCAATATTAATTAATTATATTTTTAACAATCAAGGATATTGATACGAATTCGTTTGCTTGCAGTTTATATATACATAAAAAAAATTATATATTTATTTATATGTCTTTACTATTCCGGATTTGTAACCATTACGCGTGACTGATATCAGTGCCTTATTTATGAAAATTATCTAAACGGAAGTAGTCACTCGGTCTGCCCCAAATGAAGAGGTGAAAGACCTTTTGTTAACTTTCAGAAAAATCTGTCATCGGATCTAACTACCGCTCTGTTCTACCCGTTTTTCCCATTGCCAAGTCTTCACCATCCTGCATTAGCGTTAATTAGTATATTATTTGTTAACCGAAAAAAAACACAAGCTCTCTTTGGATAACTTAAATAAACTTAGATTCGTTTTAAGAATTACAATAGAAAGCTTGAGACTTTTTTAATCTAAATTTAGAAGCACTCGCGATACTTAAGTTATCTATAACTCGCCTGTCTCCTCTTATTAAGACACTGCGATGAAGTATAACGTTAACGTTATCAGGTAAGCTTTTCAGTTTTCTGAAACAAGAATTGTACTTTAGTCCAGATTTAGTAAACGAAGAGGGGAAAAAATATTTAATGTCTATAAGGAGGACGTGCAATTTGTAGTTAATGAGTATTGATCTGCAGTTTGTGTCGATTCACTTGTAATTTCACCTTGTCTAGAAAAGTGGAAAGNTAAAAAGCGAAAGATTTTAAATTCAAAATCGTCTCGTGCTCCAATTAAACACGTGAAATATCTCAATCTTTTTAAATCTTTGTCTCAGTTAAATATCTAAATCAGAGACTATGAATAAGTTAGAAATAAGCTGTAACTTTTAATAGTTTTATTAAGTTTAAAAATATTCCTGAAAGAATATCTGATTAGATCGATTATCTTGCAACTTGTCACAAATTACCATATTCGAAAAAAGTACGATATTTTATTAAATTGAAATGTGTAAGATTATCGTGAAGGTAATACAGTGATTTTATAGAAAGACGTTAATAACCTTTTTTTTTATTATAAAAAATCGAAAATATCGATTCTTTTCGGAAGTCTCCTGTAATNTTACTAACATTTTCAGCCATTTTGAAAGGCCTTTATTAGGAACAGAACAATCGAATGATTCTGTCGATGCTTGAGGACATATTTACACTGTCATTAAGTGTACAGTAATGCTAGGCAAGAAACTTTATTCAAGAAGCAATAATAGCGATATTTTATTAAATTGAAATGTGTAAGATTATCGTGAAGGTAATACAGTGATTTTATAGAAAGACGTTAATAACCTTTTTTTTTATTATAAAAAATCGAAAATATCGATTCTTTTCGGAAGTCTCCTGTAATAAAAATACAGTATACGATGTGTATTAAATTTAATACTGTGTATAGCTTATGGAATAAACAACTTAAATAATGGATTGGGAAAATGCGACGTTAATTAAACGATTTATTCCGTAATTATTCTTTTAAATTGTGCAAATATCACACACACACACACACACACACACACACACACACCCCCCCTACAACTACACATACAGTGGGTGTTAACACAGCTTCGTTGAAAATAAATTATTTAAATATTTTCCATTTTTATAAAGGAAATATTGCATAAGAAGGAACTTAACAATTTCCCAAACTTTTTACTAAATATTAATTTATAATAATTTATATGACATAAAATTCATGTATTTTAGCTTGCAAACCTATCATATTCAACAGAATTAAATTGCTGCAATACAATTTACAACATTAAAAACTGTACCAGAATTTAATGCTTTTCCTCCTTGAGTGAATTGGTTTTATGCATATTGCTAGCCTTTTGGAAATTTTAATTACAATATTTATTGAAATAAATATAATTAGGAAAGCTTTTGAATTATATTGCAGTTATTGCACTTTTTATATTAGGGTTTCATACAGTGAAAGATATGTTTATAGAATAGTAATTGATGATGCTAACACATAACAATTATGTCAAGCAGGTATATTATGCAATGTATTATACCTTACAATGTGATTTCTTGAACTACAGTATTTCTTCTAAGGAAATATCTTTCATAAAACATTTTTCTTAACTAGAAAATAATTACTAAGTAGTAATGATTTGTGGTAGATTTTTACAGTTAGATCTAAAATAAAAATTACTTGTATTAAAGTAATTTGTAAGTAAAAGAATAATACAAAGTATAAGATAGATACATTATTTCTAAATGTTCGGTTCTTGTAGTTGGAAAGTAGTCTGTTTGAATCTTTGGTTTATGCCAGATTTTTGTCTTAAATGAACTTGCTAAAAGAAAAAAGTGAAATTTAATATTGTTTCTCTAATTACTCAGTTCAGATATCATAATGCCAAGTCAGGAAATATATTGAAGCTATCATATAAACATTTAAAGTTTTGAATATTGTTATATAAAAATGGAGACAGCTTTATATTTCCATCATATTGTAGGCATTTCAGTACAATTAAGGCAAATATTGGCACAAATACCTAGTCATATAAAGAATTATTCTTTTGATAAATATAATTGTTTACTTATATCTAGAACTAATTGTTGTATTAAATTTAAAGCATTTGGCTAATACAACACTTTTCAATTGTATCAATGTTTATTTTTGGTGCTTGTCTTGCTTTTAAGGGTTTTTCTAGCTCTATTGCACACTTAAATGACATAAAAGCCTAAAAATATTTATACTGTGCACTGGCAAGTGGAGGGAGAAAGGCAGTTTTTGCATTGTGATTTTGGTTGAGAATCTAATTTGCCACATTAACAAGGTATGTCTGTATTTTCTTTAAATTCACAGCACATCTTAATAAAATTTAATTATCTGTTTTTAAATGTGAAATGTTTCTATTGTGATCCTTTTAACATTAAAGTAAATTAAAGTTTTGAGTAATTTCAAAGATAACAAATATATTACCATATACTGTAACAGATATCATTATGTAGTTTAATTATTATTGAATTGATTTTGAAGAGTTTCCTATGCTATAATTGTATATTCACTTATTTTTAAAAATGAAAATATCTTAGTTTTCCATATTCTTTAAGATACTGAAAGCCATATTTTTTCTTTTTCTAAAAAATTCTACTTATTCTTGTTTACTTTAACATTTCTCTCTTGTCAGATTGAATTATTAATTATAAATGTAGTATTTATAAAATGAAAAAAAATGCCAGACATGCAATTTTTCTGTTCAGAACTATATTGCAGATATGCTATTACATTTGTGTTTGTTGAAAAAGTTTTAACGTAATGCAGTAGAATTCCTGCAATAACCTGAGATCTATAATCTTTAAAACTGATTAAGTTTTTACATATAAATTTTCTCCAGAAATTTATTATTAGATGGAACCAAAAATTTTCATTTTTATACTTCTCTCGGAACTAAAATTGAGTTTACATTAGCTTATGATATTTTTAAAATGAACAGAATTATACAGAATTTCAAGTTTCTGCAATTCTCAAAACTTAAATCTTGTCAATAAAGATAAAAGTTCTATAGGCATACTTTTGTAAATATAGTAGGCTAGGTTCCAGACCATTGCTGTACAGCAAATATTGCCTTAAAACAAATCACAGCTGTTTTCACTTGCTAGTGAATATAAGAAGCCTAAGGACATATTTACATTCTTCAACTGCACTTAATTAATACTCAAGCATTGGCACACAAAAACGTTTTTATAATGTAGCCTTTTAATTCAAAATTTACTAACATTTTCAGCCATTTTGAAAGGCCTTTGTTAGGAACAGAACAATCGAATGATTCTGTCGATGCTTGAGGACATATTTACACTATCATTAAGTGTACAGTAGTGCTAGGCAAGAAACTTTATTCAAGAAGCAATAATAGTAAATAAAAACATCCCTGAAAACTCCCCTAACAGCAAGGTGATTGTTGAAAATAGTAAATATGGTGTAGTTTAAAATTATATTCATATTAGCAAAGAGCATTAAAGCAAATCATCTTAAAGTGAGATATAACTGTACATTAATCATAATTACTTTTCACAAGCTTTCCTTTATTCATTTAAAATGATAACTCAATATTTTTTATTTAAATATTTTACTGTGTTTCAATCTTACAATATTTTGTATTTAGAGTATTTACATTGTTTAAATATCATGCATATTTAACAAATAATAATGTTTAATCTTTTATATGCTCTGTAGTATGTAAAAGATCAAAATTTTACATTAGAACATTAGAAAACAATCTTTTAAAACCTTTTATAATGAATGCTATGGAATATGTTGTTCTATAGATATTTTAAATAAGAAGTTTGTATAATATGATAGGTTGAAACTGAAGATGGCTAAAAAATAGACAAAAACTGTTTTAAGGAAGTTAAATCATTAATTAATCTTATCAAAAGTGGTATTGGAAATTATTAAATCTGGTGTCAAGCTTTCTGAAACATGAAGATTAGAGC